ACAGTTATTTCATTAAGCTCTTAGTTCGGTAGACAAGGTCGCTACTTCAGAATACCAGTAATATGTAGAAATTTCGACATTAAACTCATGCGGTTAAAATTTAAAAGTAAACTTCTAGAAATTTTTTGAGGGGCTACTATTAAAATGTATTTATTTTGAGCACTTTACGCAATAAATATAAATTTTGTAAAATATAGCATTTTAGAGAGCCTTTAAATATTATCTTATTTAAGTAAGGATACAAACAAAAAGTAGTTTTGAGAAATTTTCAAATGATTACAAATATATTAGCTTAATTGTACTCAGAACAATTAAGCTAACTTAAATCATTTTCAAATAAGTTTAACTAATATATCGCGTTTTAACCGTTAAAGTGTTTTATTTAAATGTGTACTCAGATTCATACGATTATAAAAAAATAATCAATAATTTATCTTGCACGTGTATTGAAGAAGATATTAAGCAAATAAAACAACAATATGTAGGTAATTTTAACAAATCAATAATTTAATTAGAAATTAACAGTTTACACTAACTACATACTCTATTTCTTAATAAAAATAATTTATCTATGTGTAAAGTAGTAATTAGGCTGATTACAAACGAATATATTTTGCGCAGGCGGTAAATATACACATCTATTGAATTACTTCACATGTCTAATTATGTAAAGATGATACAGTTAAAATATTATAATATTGAATAAGATCAACCCTTAAACTAATACAATCGAGAGAGACATAGAGAAATTTCGAAAAATTGTACTTAACACTAGTAATAAAGGTAACTTTACAACTACAAGTGAAATAAACCGTGAGCGGTTGATATAGGGTTCATTTTAGATTGTAGTTATAAAACATTTTCCTTTAACTGCGCTATATAATTCGTGTTGCTATAAATCTTCTAAAAGGGATCATCACTCTTTTGAATGCTCACCATCCTCATAATAGGGAACGCTTTAAAATAAAAAAAAAAAACGTTTTTAATAAACGCGAAACGGAAATCTACATACCAATGTTTGATTTACACTGAGTCGTTTTTTATATTGTGCAATAAATAATATTAGTAATTTCCTAATGTAGAAAGAATGCATTTGCACATGATTTATTATATTTATTCACGATCACGATGAAATGTAGTAATTAAATAAACGCTATCGAAAATCCAGGATCATAAATGTTTATAAGGAAAGACTATATAGCAACATGAATCGTGTATAGAACGCCTTAATTATGTAAACGCCAAGCCACTGCCAGTTACTTACCTACATACTTTACACTAAGGCCGGTACACATCCTTACACATAGTATATACTTTAAGTAATAAAGTTTTTAAATGCTCAACTAGTAAATAGACTATTGCATTGCTCTGTAATCACATTACTCTATGCTGTAAAGAAGACATCATACAATTTCTAGTTTTCAAATTGTACGAAGCTCCTTACGATAACAACTGCAGAGTCATTATAATAATTATAGCGGCGAAAATACAAGACATCGATTAGAAGAAATCAAATTAATTCGATTATTCAGGCACAAATTACTTAACCTAAAACGGAAATCTCATTTTAACGATATTAATAAACATCTTGTTAATTCTTAGACATATAATAACTGATATATATGTAATATTAAAGAAATACTCTGTGGTTCTTCGGGATCTTAGGACGTGTATGGAAAATAGTTCTCGAAGTTCTCAATTCTCACAGACGCTGGCTTTAAGGGCCCCAAAAACCAGAAAGTTGTAAAAGAGTGAAGATGGCGGCGAGAACCGTCAAATTTTTAAGAACTCGAATTGCAGACGTGTTTTTAAATACAAGTTCCTAGAGCTCAAACATGGAGCGTTTATAGATATACCTTTATAAAAATAATACATAAGCTATATTATGCTAAGGCGCGAATTAAGATGATTTTGGCACTTTAAACAAATGTGCTCGTTTCAAAACCAACAAAGCCGAGACATTGAATTAAAAAATATTACTAAATAACTTTGATTGCCAAGTACTATCACAAGAATAATATAACTGTAGACATATTAATAATTTTAAAATTCAATAAGCATAGACTGAACATATTAAAAGTGCATTTCTAATATATTAAAATGGGCAACATTAACGGTACCGACATTTAAAAATTTACAGTCCGCTCATACGAATCTAAAGAGGGCTGTAATTTATACGATACGATTAGCTTTTGATAGATGTCAACAACAAAATGTACATTTTGTCAGGAAGTCAAGGCATCGGTTTCCTGACCTATAACTTCATACATCGAATAATCGTGTCGTTTTAAAAATGTCGATATCTGACTTAGACGAAACAGCATCACTATCTAATGAATGCTTCATTTAACAACATTATATCTTCAATTCTGTTTATTGTATTCTTGTTTCTCAATATACACCTATCGTTACTGTATTCTTATCACCTTACGAGATTGTACATAATGACACTAAGATGTTGGAAAATTGAGTTCATATATTCAAATATAAACGTAGGGACGTAATATTTGGTCCTTAAAATATAAATTTAATTGCGTTTGAAATGTTAAAAATGCCTCTATATTTTATTTAAATATAAAGTAATGAAATACAAGCTGTGACATATATAGTATCGTACCCGATATCGGATAGGACGATGTAAAAGTCTGAAATGGAAGAATCAGCCATTTTCATATAACTTTGAAGTATTGAATAATTTTAACAGTTAGCGTCATTCTGTCAACCCAACAACCAAATTGCCTCGTTCGTAGAATTTAAGATTTGAGCAGCTTATTCGCGCGCTGGTTCGCCACAGCTATGCGTGTCTCATTACTCTCACCCTGGACAAACATACAAAAAATTATATAGATACATAGTAGGGCAACCTTTAAAGGAATTCTTAGACCCATAAGCATAGGCGTACTGCTTCCTCACAAAAGCAAAGAGATTAATAAGGGGTCAAAGATGTGAGCAAAAAAGCTGTATATTTAATAAGCTTATTTTAATCAATAGCTTGTGGGTGGAAAAGCTAAATTCATTTATAAGTGCATATTTATTTAACGGTGCGTTTTAAGACATTTTTAGAAAAGTGATATATGCCATTATATATAAATGTTGTGTTTATAAGCTTAAAGAAACTAACGTGGTTGCATAATATAACATGTATTTATCATAGGTTTTTATGATAAATACGTTAAGTTATATACTGTCTGTAATTTACGCGAGTAGTACACATTTAAATGAAACACTTTGACGGTTTAAAACGCGATATATTCTAGTTAAACTTGTTTGAAATTTATTTTTAACCGCAGCGTTTCCGAGCCCCCGTAGTTAAAAATAATTTTCAAATAAGTTTAACTAAAATATATCGCGTTTTAAACCGTCAACGTGTTTTGTTTGAATATGTTAAGTTAGAATTATTTAATACACATCGTATGATATAAATAAAATAACAGTCACTTGACACGTTTTATATAATACATTTAGACGTAAGCTTTAGAAGGATTATTTTTCATGGCAAAAATCTAATTTTTACAATGTGCATATTTCACTTTCCTTAAAGATGCAGATAAAATCGTATTAAATTAATACTTACAAATTCGTTGTCCTTATGCAGTGTTGTAGTGTGTGTCTCGTGGTATGTTATAAGTTATTATACGGTTATAAGCGTTTCGAATGATTGTACTTTAAATGTTTGCATGTTACAGCTAAACTATGTTGGGAAGAAAATACGTTAAGTAACCTACGTCATTTATTAGAACAAACTAGCACTTCTAAATATAGCAATTATTACTTAAAGTATACATTTTAAATAGTTGGAATTAGAAATGTAGTAATTACTTTTAGGGATCGAAAAAAAAAACTCACTTTACACGAAAAAAACCGCGACACATTTGAATTTGAATATCGCACTACATTTCCGATTTCAAATCTGAAATAATCAAATGCTCTCCTATCTAAGAATCTCGAATAAATAAATTACAAAAAAAAAGTCTCTTGACACTTTTGCTAATACTTCTTCATAAGTGGAAAGCAAAGTTATAAGATTCAGTACTTTATTTCATAGAAGCAGATATGATAAGAGATATGTAAATATTTAGATTATTTTAGTTTTTTTGATGTTTATGGAGATATTATTAAAGAAATTAAAATACACAGAGAAGCACTACATAACCGCTCCTATGAAATAATAAAAATCCCGACTTACTTAAGTTCATACTATACGTATTATCACATGTTAAACCGATCCTTACTTTACGCATTTTACTTAAATAACTCTCCTACAAAATCCTAGTTATAAGGGAAAGAAGCTTATGTCTTTAAACAAGTCACTGGTCGAAACTATTTTTTTGATTACACATGTTTTATATAAAAATAAATGCATTTTGAAAAAGAAACTGAATGAATTTAACGTCGATTCGGCTCTGTACTTAATACAATAGGGGACATGTTCCTTTATCAAGCAAAGAAATGATTATAAAGGGTGTTTCAAAAAGATTCCTCTTACCTATACTTCCAAACAATAGTCTTGATCATTCCCTCCATTATTAAATATATTCTAGACAACTTTAGTACTACATAGTAAATATATAGTATGATTCAAAGATTACTGTTAATACTTGGATAATGAGTTACTAAGCAATTTACTGGTCTTGAACGGATTGCAAACATTACATATGACAAAGCTTTTTTGTCTAATTAATTTTACCATCTCGGTTTCTACATTCGATGTGAGAAACTGTATATTAATATATATAATAATATAAGAAGAATTTGCTTGTTCCACCATCTTGTTAACAATGCACACTAAAATGTCCACTTTTCGTTTTGTCTACTTTTGGCCCAGACTAAACACATATTCACGACGAATGACTTTTTGATAATATCATTATAGATTACATATAAGGGGTAAATACACAGGTTATAGGCGTGATAGTAGAAAGCATAAATGTGAATGTAGTGTTTGCAATCCGTTCGACCACGAGACGTGTGTGTGTTTGTTTGTGTATCGCCGCCGCCGTTTACTTGAGGAGCTCGTGGGCGCGCTGGTTGGCGACCTTTATTCTCGTTTCATTCGATTCACCCTAAGATAGAGAACAGTGTTTGTCTTGTCTTCGTATACAATAGTACAAGTGGAAAATATTGTAACAATAGTACATGTTGGTATGGTGACTTATAAGCAATTCAGCACAATTTTCAATTTTATTACTAAGATAGATGAAACATTTGTTTTACGCGTCTGTACTACTTTTTACTAAAGCTCAGGTAATATTATAATGACGTCACATGATTTTATTGAAGTTTAACTCCCCTCCCCTCCTAACGTCAGATGTTCTAGAATTTAGACATCTGGAATTTAACAGCGATTTACAATTTAAAAAAATATCATGTCTTAAGATTTAGAATACTCCACACGTAATGACACATTGGGTCGACTTTCTCCCCCCCCTTTTTTTGTATGACGCAATAATATGGAACACCTATGTATAATCTCAATACAGATTCAGAACCGTTGTAAAAAAGTGTAAAACAGATGTTTCAAGACCTTGTCCGATGTACGAATAAATAATTTGTTTACCCTGACGCTGGAACTGCAGATAAGTATTAGGATGATGTAGGTGTACTGACTGTTGGAATATGGTTTGATGTGTCAAAGGTCTACTATTTTCGTTCGAGTGGGTTCCAATTATAGAAATATCATGCAAATGATAGTGAATCTAGAATATGCATGCAAAATTTTCAATTTGATGAAGCTCAGCCAATATAAGAATCAATTAGACGATTAGATTTCTAAAAACTACAATTTCATGAAAAAGTAGGGTTACTAGTTATCTTTTAATACGTGAAACATGTTTATGAAGAGACATTTTGCTTTGAGATACTTTTTACAATTGTACGTAGGATATGATAGTGATGACTACGTTGAGCTACATTTCGTCTAATAGCGAATTTATAATTTTGACAGTTCAACAGAGGTGTAAGTAAACATTTATAATTAAAATTGATAGCATATGTAGATATACAAAGAAGGCAGTTTTATGGTTAGTTTGATTCTGTATATAATGCTTACTGCTGTGTATAATTTTTATTATACACAGCACAACACCCTGTGTTGCCAGATTCAACACATGTTTTTTTAAAGAATATGACGGGCAACTTCTGTCTATATTTACGAAATATCATTTAAATGTTCCTAGCAGTTTAGGCGTAGTTATTGACTTTTGAATTAACAAAAAACATCTGATGAGCCACAGACACTACAATTTATAACAATTATTGAAACTTGCGTGTTGTTATTTTGTTTACTAGTTTGAAAAACTTTGTATAAAAATTAACTTCTTTAAATTTGGTAGAAAATATTTTTTCTTTTGATATACTGTATGATACTATCATTTGTATACCACCTCCAAAAATGTAACACCTCAATGGACTGTCAAATTTATCACCCTATTAGACAAAGTAATATATGAATGGGTGCATGAAACACGTGAATTCTATAAGCGACCGTGCCACCAATATTGTTCCACGTACTAAATGTTACACACAAAGTGTGCCAAATAAAAAAGCTTAGACACCGATCATCTAAATCTATTATGTTGCCAGCCGTTCAAGTATTACGTAAGTAAATTTAATTCCGATTGTTACCATCCCCTCCCACGTCATAAGTTAGCAACACTCTTCCCCGCCTCTCATGTATAAACACTAGTATATGTATTTTCCTTTGTATACTTATACATTCTAGAAGTAATGAAATAAGTTTCTTTAAGTATATAATCTGAGGTTACTACTGTCCCCCACAACACTATCAAGGTCATGAAAAAGTAAAAGAAGAACCCCTACAGTGATTTCGTAATACTTGAAGGGCTTTGGTGCGTATTTTGCGTTATGTGAAACACAATAACACAATTTCCTTTAGCATATAACGCGGAAGTTAGAATTACAAGGATTTTTTTACAAATAATTATTTTTAGAATTTTATCGATAACTTGGAACCGTATTGAAAAGGGATATTGCTAACAATCAAACGAAGTAACAAGATGACGTATATATTTTAGAAACATGACAAATAGACTTTTAAAAATATATTAAACCTGGTGGGGATCGAACCCATTTGATTTTAACGATACGTTACTATTACTGGACCAGGCCAGAAAGGCCAGCCATGCGAGGACTTCTAGTATTCAGCAAATAGCCGAGCGTAGCTTTTTATGCCATCTGTTTCATTATCAATATTATTATTATTACATCTGTCATTGTCATTTTGAGATTTGACATTGTCTTAAGAATTGAATTTCCAAAATTAAAATCATATATGAGGTAGGTTCCAAGTTATCGCGATGGAGCATTGAATGTTGCGTATGCGCATGTACATCAGCGTTACCTTGCGGTTGATGCGGTCGATCTGCCGGTTCTGGTTCTCGAGCTCGGAGCCCATGTCGATGGCCATGTTACGCAAATTACCAATCATCGTGTTCACTTGGCCCATGTTCTCCTCCATTTCATCTTCTCGGGCGTCGTTTGTTATCCTGGAAATATTATTGAGAGGAATCAGTACCTTTTTCAGGTGATAAGTTTGCAGGTATCTACTGGCCTGGCTGGGAGTTATTGGGCCAGGGCATCAATTTAATCATAATTTCGAATAGTGCGTAATTATCATTATTTATGTTATCTGTGTTAATCTAATTTAATGGAAATTAGAGACACGCAGACGAGCGACAAGCAGATGTGGGCTGATCACCCGGTCTTCTAACTGTGTCGCTAATAGAAAACACCATAATCCGTAGTTTACGCGAGGATTACACATTTAAATAAAACCTTCTAACGGTTTAAAAAGCGAAAGGTATCAGTAAACTCATTTATATTTTATGTTAAAAGCAGCCGTGGTCACGGGGACTAAAGATGGAGGGTGTCCCTAATGTTAAGGTAAGAACCACCTGTTCCATCGTAGTTGGTATTCGGTAATATTTCGCGGTATTTAAATAATGATAAGTACGGCTATTAATAAAAGATTAAATTTAAAGTTTTATCACCTGCCAATGTAACCAGCCTGCGGACCGATGCCGTTACGTTCGTCCATCACTCGCTGCGGCTGATTGTTCACGACCTTACCGTCATCATTTCCTTTCCATGTGCCATCGTCCTCCTTAAACGAAGCACCCCTGGAAAGTAAAACACATTTCTTTAGATCTATCTTATGCAATAGCTAGTAAATGGACACGATTTTGACAAACATTATACTTTGTCTGATATAGGATGATATGTTAGTTATGTCGTGAAGTAATAAGTACTTTATAAAATATTTTCCTCTATTTAGTTAGTGCCCACTTAGTGGCAGTGGACAATACTATCGGTACCAAAAGCAATCAAATATGTAATATATGAAGCTAACAAAAACGCAGTGTATAAACTTTGTCTATTAATACACAGTATAAGTAGAGACAAGATAGATATAACAGACATATACGATATAAGACAGAGTACATATAATGCCGCTAGTAAAAGTAATATTTATACAAAACAAAATAAAATCAAAGTTTTATAAACTATAAATGCCTTTTTATAGTTAATTTTAATTTTATAACACTTTGGGTCACGATGTAACGCGTTATGTACAATAAATCACACAAATTGATTATTCATTCTCAAGTAGTTTTTCTTCGATCATTAAGTACATGAACATTTTTAACTTTCAATCTTATCCCTGATCAGTAGTGACAAAGATGTTTTAAGCTTTTTTCTTCTTCTTTTGCAAGATATGGAACATGTTAATTTACCTTTAGTTCTGGTTTGTTGCTTTAAATTGTCTATAAATTCTGCGAGTAGTACACATTCGAATAAAACACTTTAACGGATTGAAACGCGAAATATATTAGTCTAATCTATTTAAAAAATATTTTAACTACGGCCCGACGTTTTGCAGCAGGTTTGACTAACAAATTTCGCGTTTTAAACCGTTGAAGTATTTTATTTAAAACTAAAGATTTTTAGGGGCCGGCTGGGGTAAAATGTTGATACGCTGTCACAATACAGGGAAAAAGAGGGGGGGGGGGGGGGGGGGGGGGGGGGGGGGGGGGGGGGGGGGGGGGAAAAGGGGGGAGGAAAAGGGGGGGGGGGGGGGGGAGAAGAGGGGGGGGGGGGGGGGGGGGGGGGGGGGGGGGGGGGGGGGGGGGGGGGGGGGGGGGGGGGGGGGGGGGGGGGGGGGGGGGGGGGGGGGGGGGGGGGGGGGGGGGGGGGGGGGGGGGGGGGGGGGGGGGGGGGGGGGGGGGGGGGGGGGGGGGGGGGGGGGGGGGGAAGAAAAAAAAAAGAGGGGGGGGGGGGGGGGGGGGGGGGAAAAAAAAAAAAAAAAAAAAAAAAAAAAAAAAAAAAAAAAAAGGGGGGGGGGGGGGGGGGGGGGGGGGGACCCCCCCCCCGGGGGGGGGGGGGGGGGGGGGGGGGGGGGGGCCCCCCCAAAAGGGGGGGGGGGGGGGGGGGGGGGGGGGGGGGGGGGGGGGCCCCGCGGGGGGGGGGGGGGGGAAAAAAAAAACCCCCCCCCCCCCCCCCCCCCCCCAAAAAAAAAAGAGGGGGGGGGGGGGGGGGGGGGGGGATATTTTTGGGGGGGGGGGGGGGGGGGGGGGGAAAAAAAAAGGGGGGGGGGGGGGGGGGGGGGTTTTTTTTTTTGGGGGGGGGGGGGGGGGGGAAAAAAAAAAAAAAAAGGGGGAAAGGGAGAAAACCCCCCCCGGGGGGGGCGGGGGGGGGGGGGGGTTTTTTGGGTTTTTTTAACCAAACCTTTTGGTTTTTTTTTTTCTGCGTTTTTTTTTTTGGGGGGTTTTTTCCCCCCCCCCCCCATTTCCCCTTTAATTTTTTTTTTTGGGGGGGAAAAAAAAAAAAAAAAAAAAAGGGGAAGGGGAGGGGGGGGGGGGGGGGGCCGGCCGCCCCTTTGGGGGGACCCCCCCCCCCCCCCCGGGGGGGGGGGGGGGACCCCCCGCCGGGGGGTTGGGGGGCGAACCCAAGGCCGGGGGGGGGGGGGTCTGGTTTTTTTTTTGGTTTGGGGCACCACTACAATACAGATAAGAAACATTCAAATAGCAAAGGTCTCGTACTTGTTGCATGGCAATACGCAGATACCGCAACATTTCTCCATACCGGAAAGATTCTTCTCCGCTTCACGCATGTCCGCGTTGATCTGATCCATCCCCTCTTCGATTCTATCCAATTGCTCTGTTTACACATAAGTCTAATTTAAGTGGTGGCCCTTCAAATCCTCGATACAGAAAGCGCCTAACATTTAATCTCGCGTAATTATATCGTGTTTTCTGTAAATTCTCAACGCTCTCGACAAAAACCGGGACCAGTTTGAGGAATGTAAAAATCATATCTATATTTATATGTCTTAGAATTACATAAAAAAACCATCATTTTTAAAGTTTTATTGAATCACCTCACTCTCGTCCCGATTACAGCGAAATCTATTTACTTTTACCTCGACAAAAATGATGTGTGCTGATACTAGGTGATATATCAAATACTTGTATTAACTAACATTTAGAATAACAATTCAAGTAGTAAGTACTACCCATGCATAACAGCGATATTAAAAATAGTCGTGCATAGCTAGATGCGTGAGAGAAAAACTAAAAGATGATATTACTGAACACAATATGATTTATCTTCAGTCTCTATACAAGTGGAGACCCGAGTTATTTCACATTTAGCATGATGATGGCAGTTTTACCTTCGTTATTTATCCATACTTTTTATTCTGTTAGCACATTGTCGGAATTTTAAGTATATAATGAGCTTTCATAAACAATATTGACTGGTATTTCAGACAAAGCCTTACTAGTTTATGAGATACGTAAAGTAGTACTACTGGATGCTTACCGCCCTGTTCATCCAGCATGACCAGGGTTTTCATGCCCACCTCGTGACTCTACAACACAATAATGATGTCACTATAGCTCGCCAATGAGGTGAGACGGGAGCGACGCGCGCGCATGCCATCTCTGTGGCTGTGGTCTCTTATAAACGCCGTTGCTCGCCCTCAGCGACTCGCATTACGCAGCTTATAATAATAGAAATGTAGTGTTGTCTCCTTCGCACATTGTTGCTGTACGCTTCGCAAGTTTGACGCTTGTATTTCGCTGACTGTTGTTGTAATAGAACCGGCAATAACTAAATCATGAGATATAGTCAGCATTTCGATGCAGCGTAACGCGTTATGCTGTACGCGGTGTACGGCGTTAATAAGAGACCACAGCCTATGCGGGCACTTCGCGCCTCGACATCTCGTTACTCGGTTTAACTCAGAATGATAACTAAACAAAAAAAAGAACTTAACACATGAATATGATCACGGTGAGCCGCATTTCGGCGGGCGGCCACTCCTCCGGCGATGGTGTGGAATGAAAGAAGTGAAACATCTAAGCCATTCTCGGATGAGTGAGAGCAAGGTTCACATCGAGCCGGCGCGGTGGGAGGCGAGGCCGCCCGTCGCGAGACATAGATCGCATCGAGCTAACAGTAACAGACCTACTGCACTAACATTAAGAGTACGCTGCTAGCCATGGAGATGAAGGCGTATACCATTAAATACTCTATACGTCAACAGACACTCGGTCAACGCGCAAACATATCAATACCGCAGATAAAGAGAAGAGAATAGTAGATTCGGAAAGATAAATAAATATACCTATAAAAAGCGTTCCGAACGACAATAACGGAACAACTAAACAGATTGCGCAGCTCATTCAAATTAAATCTTCAGCAAAGGATAGAGTGATAGTTTTGGCGACAATTAGCAACGAACGGCCATCGGGCTTCTCTATTTACACTATGTTGTCATAATCATCCCCATCGAAACAGAAACATACGCAACATCGATCTGAGATAAGTCGTTATTCAAGAGAAACGTCAAAGGAAAACAAAGAGATTAACTGTTTATACTGCACATTCAACACAGACGTTCTCACGACTCGACTACCCACGTTCAAGTTAACTCTTACCGCCCTGGTGACTCAACATATGAAGCGCTTGCCCCCCGGCGTCCTCGCTCTATACATAAAATACAAATCAAAATAATATCGCAGGAGAGAGTATCGGGGTGTGTGGGTGGGGGTTTGGTGCCGAAGAGACCGCACGTACGCGCGGGTGCTGCGTGAGGCTGCGACTGAGCGGCGCGTGCGCAGGTACGTTTGAGCGACGCGCGGCCGGCGGACTTCCGTCTCCCTCTTCTCTCCCCCCTCCGCCGACCGCGACCGCTCGCCACTAATACACACTACTCGAACAGCAGGCATGCAGTGAAGCTTGCAGGTAAAACCAGAAAGTCGTATTTGTGCTCAGTTTCTCATGATTCATGAATAATTTTGTGTGATGTTAAGAGTCGTGCGTTGAGAAGCGTTTCGAATTTACTTTAGACGGATTCATCTTTCAGTTATGTGATATAAGTAGTCGAGTTTCATATCTGATATGCGGAATGTGAAGGTATCGTACGAACGGTTAACAATTTAGCTTGTATGTCGTTTCGACTTGGCCGGCGTCGCGTTCTTAAATAGCACTCGCTGACGAGTTGTGCAAAGTTGTGTATATTAGCTACGAAACGAAAAGAACGATGCAAAGATGGAGGCATTCCTTCGCGTCGCTTCCTGTATCTAAAAGACCGAGACAAATGTTCGGAAGCCAGCATCTTTACACGCAAAATACAAAATGTATCTTTAAATAGCAGTGAATCCTCCCCTTGATATCTTTACCAAAGACACCCTCTTCGGCTGAGCGATCCAACATGGTTAGCGAAAGGTAAAATAGACAAAACTGTAAGTAAATTAGTGTTGCAATTTGCATTTCACTCACCTCCCTGGTCGTCAAGAGCGACCAGAGTACGTATGCCGGCCTCCTTGCTCTAAACCAGCCGCAGAAACAAAAAGTCAGAGAGCATGTTAGTTGTGAGGGGTATAGTGGAGTGAATGGATAGTGGACGTGGTGGTTCGGGGCACCTACGTCGGCCCTCGAGCATCAGTGTTCAGTTCTTGTTATATTAGTGTACAAGGACATTTTCGACCTCTTATTTTTGATTCGGGATACATATTATTTGAGTGGGCATTGTGCTGAGAGTTAAGCCTATAGTTCACAAACAGATCAGTCTGAAGATGCCCTTAAGTCTGAACAGTGTTGAATAGTGATGCGGTCGGCTTTGTGTTTCGTTCGGAACATTAGTACAGACAAGTTTACAGCGGTAACATATACAATAAACATATTAAACATCTATGTAAAAAAAATCAAGAAACAAATTATAATATGAATATATAATATGAACGACAAAATAGGGATCAAATAAAAATATCTATATACGTATCTGACTGTTCTGTATTTGTTGTGAGAGTTAGGGTGTGGCTCGGGAGTCTAGTGGCTGGTACGGGGTACTCCCATACAGTAATGTGAATGTTCGAAGGCATGAAATCATACAATAAAGATTACAGTCAACAACAGACAGCAGCCACTACACAGAGACCTAATACAGAACAAACTAAAAGAAGAAAGAAACGAATATTGGCAGTTTCGGTTTAGCCATGAACCGGAAAAATCCGGAACTCAAAGTATGACAACAGGCGAATAACGCCACTGTTGTAAAGGTACAATTCAACTTAGGAATGAAAGAAAGTGCATTAGGAAAGTGTTATTGCCCGAACGGCAGAAAAACTTTAGAAGGATTTTTCGGAAAGCAGGCCCAAGCAAATCCATAAAAACTACGTTCGAAGGAAAGCGCAATTTTCGAAACAAATATTTGCTAAGGGTACATTGACAATTTTTATGGACGACGTAGATTTATCTATGGGCTTTCATGCTATGTAGAAAGAAAGAACTAAACCGGTAACGGACTTGACAGATAAGTAAAGCTTTAAAAAGAATCACTTAACGGAGTTTTAGATTTCTTAGCTGTCAATTCCAAATAAGGAGAAGGATTTGCCGATCCATACATTTCGGTTTAACACTACGAACAACACAAAGGGCTAACAGATGTCTAATCATTGGACACATTTAGGCACGGAGCATGCAAACACCCATATAATAAAACAAAAATATATAGATACAATAATTTCGCATAAGGACAAACAAAATAAAAAGAAATAAACAGCTACAATATAAATACATACACATCGAATATAACATTAGCGACATCGAAACAGCCAAGGATAGCAGAGGCTGCGCCCTATAGGGTTCGGGGGGCTTTGGGTTTTGGTCAGACCGAATTTGGGGCTACCCAAGACACTTCCGCAATACCCCTCGCATCGAGAACACCTCTCTCACAGATGGTCACAAATAATCATATAACCAATGGAATAAAACAACAAAAACAGTTGGGGGCTATCGGGGGGGAAATAAAATTGACTGAAAATGAAATACGTCTGATGGAACGAGTCCGAATCTAACAATTTTAAGGCGTAACGATTCTTCAAAAGCATCTTTAATATCGATAAAGTTGTCTATCTGAAATTACGAACTGCACAAATATAGTAAAAAATCATTGTTGGTTTATATTAGTTGCAAGGTATTCTCGACATCTGATAACAATTTTACTGCTCAATTCTTCTGAACCTTATTAGTAAGTAGGTCAATAACAATAGTAAATTAATCTCTAACATCTTTTGACTGGCGAGAATCTTACCTCCTCGCATAGTTGCATCATACGTCGCGTTGACTCCAGGGACTGTAATGTAGAGAATGAAGGATTAATACTCGTTTTAACCAAGGTCATGCTTTATGCTTTACTACAATAAGTAAAGCATAAAGCATGACTTTATTTAGTTGGTTTATTTAGCAGTAATTTGAGCGTAATAATTAATCTATCCTTAATATAGATAAGTAGAAATTAAGTAGCCTTGATGAAGAGACATGGTGTCTCAAGAAGCCAGCATTAGGCTTTGCCAAGTTTTTTGTTCATATTTGTTTAGCAGGCTACTAATATCGTGATAATGCCAAGGTATGTTTTGTGTAAAATATGGTAATGAAGCTATTAGTATGCGAACCTCATCAGTAACTTGTCCGGCACGTAATTGGAGCTGTTCCAGCTCGCTGCGCGGCGCGCCATTTTCGGCTGGTGGTGTTGCTGCTGGCATCCTGGAACAAGTTATAAGGCATATCAAAGCCTTTTGTATGTCATATATAGTGTATGTATAAGTTCCCACAGTTATTAACTACAGTCTTTTAAATAGAACTTTAAATTGTGCAAACATTTTAAGTTGTAATTATAGTCTTCTCAAAGATGTAGCACGAATTCTTTGAACGTGATAAATCGTCCACATTACGCCATCATTGCCAACGCATTAGTCAGCCTCATGTTTTATTGTAATGAAGTTTTTGTTTCGCCAATTGTATTTGAACATGATTTGGATGCTTGAATCTGTAGGAAATTATTGAGGGTTTGTGTTGACTTCCAATTTCTAATCTGTGACAGAAGACAGATGTGTTCTTCTAGTTAGATGGTGCAGTTTGTGTGTGAAACTGGTTTATTTAACAGTTCAAACATAAATAACCTTCAATAAAGCCAGAATTTAAATACAATTATTACCTTATGCAGGTCAAACTGTAGGTAGCATTTAAACGCAAAAATATACTTGAACAATGGCATGGGCTTTTTAATAAGAGTCACTACTACAGGGTTGTAGAAAACGTCATAAACACTGGATTATAAAAGAATTCTGTCGAGGAATAAAGTATACAATGCTTGTTATGAAGAAGACAGCTTCATTATCGTTGTAGCATTCGCTTAATACAACGTTGATTGTGAACATTGAACTTGATAAATATAAATAACGGGGGAGAACTGCGTCACGGCCTTGAGCCCACAAAAGAGGTTGCCCGAGGAGGTTATATTACACTACATTTCCACTCTTGTCTCGAATGTATTTTTGGACGTATCACGTAATAAGAGTGTATTGCGTGTTATATTTCTCATTCTACTAAATTTACTGAGCTGGCAATTTGGTCGAATGGGGTAATGTATCTATGGCTAAAAATCAACCGCGTCAGAAATGTTAATAAAATAATTTTAAAGTAATTCTGAACCATGTTAGATTTCATCAGAAAAGTCTGGAAAAATTTAATGTCCGTCCGTGGCACGATCCACTACCTACAAATATAAAAACTCGTGAAGTGGTAAATCTGCGGTTTCAGTTTGTAGATTACCGAACAACTTAAGCCAAAATAAGTCGGTAGCGCATCTTGTTTAGATGTTACGGAGCCGGGGTATTTCAATTTTAATAAAAACTGTCCTATTCTGTCATTAAATTATCTTTTCTTTTATGTTATATAAGTGAACTGCTCTTCCAGGCAAAAACAATTTACATAATAAAAATTAAGCGATTTACAAAAACTAGGTCTTAGCTTACCAGTCGTAAACATGTTACAAAATAATTACGAAGTTAGAAGAAGTAATTGTAATTACTCAGGCAATACTAATAGATTACATAAAAGTCACATCCAAACTCGTTTCAAATCTCACCAAAAATTAAAATTAAATTCGACATTTCGTGAGAAAACAGAATATTCGAAAGTAAAAACACATGGGGATCGTAAATCATTGTAAGAAAGGGAAAGTACTTTAAGATTTACGAAAACAAGCGGGGAAGTGTTTGCTCGTAAAATTTTCAACACGCGATGGCGTGCTCTCTCGACCCGACCTTTGAATTTTAACGAGAACTTCAGTAGCTACAAGCTGAACCGCGACCTGGTAAAGAACAACACTTAATTATTTAATAAGTTTCGCAATCTTTATGTAAAATGAATTTGTGTAACGATTTTCATTTAGCACAGTTACTTTAACACAATATTTTACTTGCGCTTTCAAAACATAGCCCAAAACTACCCTCAAGTGGGTGAATAGAAGTAATACATATTTTTGCGCTGTTTGTAAGCACATTCGATGTCACTATTGTAAAACTTATAACAAGTCATAACATTCCAATATTCCTTATAAGTAACACAAAGTTTACCAGTAAAATATTTAGTAGTGTAATAAAGAGGTCATACAAATGTATATCAAATGTCCGCGATCATCTGAAAACATTCGCAGAGATAGAGCCACACGAGTTCTTCTGCAAAATCGATAGACGCGCGCACCACCCTTAGCCGAGAACTCACCCATTCCCCAAACCCCAACCTCTAACTACTTGAACTACACAACCTTTCATGCACCGGTTAATAATTACATTTAATGAACATCGCCATTTAACAATATTTATTAATAATTATTATTTTCTTAAAGAAGAGATTAAGGAAAAAGCAATTTAAGAATTAAAAAAATCATCTAGAAATTTCCTGTAATTTATAAATAAAACGTAATGCTTACTAATATTATAAATGCGAAAGTAACTCTGTCTGTCTGTCTGTTACTCTTTCTTGCCAAAACTACTAAACGCATTTGAATGAAATTTAGTACATAGATGGTCTAGACGCTGAGAAAGAACACTACTTTTTATTGCGAAAAGGGGGGGGGGGATAAAAGTTTGTATGGAAATTCGTGACTTTTGAAGCTAGTATTTAATAAAAGTACTTAGTGGAAAATACAATTGTTTAATTTGGCGAACGATAAAAATACCGACCTGTTACCCAACATACGCTAATGTAATTAACTCTTTAGATAATGAATAATCAATTGTTTCTATACTTTATGTGTATGTATCTATTTATAGCTGTCTAAACATTAAAAACTGATAGATAACACATTACGAAGTTAAATGATTTTAACATTTTCGGTGGGTAGTTTTAGAAGTATGGGGCAATATCAAACAGTTTTTAGAGCAATGCATTTTACGTACTTTTCAGCAAAAGATAATAAATAAATAGGTAATAATCTTTGCATTTGGCTATGAGTCTGGTACTATACCGTCTTAAAAATGCTCTAACTACAAAGAAGTTTCTCATTTTAGTTAACTAGGTACATGTGCTCGCTATAAAAATTGAAATTTAAACCTTTGCAGGCAAAGGATGACACTTGACCTCGTGTCAACCTACATAAACTTGATAATGTAGCAAACTGCACGGAAAGTTCATGTAACTTCATAAAATGGATCGGGGAACAATGAAACGCTCGCGGCGCAACTTCCAGAGATTTATCCCAAGCATTGGAAATGTAGTTTTTTTCGCAATATCGCCGTTCCTTCGTAACGAGTAAAGGAAATGTTTTAAATTTGTTTCGGTACATTAAAAAATGATACAAATCTGAGTTCTATGTACAATTACTCGTGTTTAGGGGACCATATGTAACTTGGTTTATTTGAGGAGTTATTTGTGGCAGTGTTTTTTTCCTTTACAGTTAGTTATCTATTAATGGCCAGATATTATCTGTTAATAAAGTATTAAGAACATTATATCTACGCCAATAGTTAATGTGGTGATTTTAGTATGGGTTGTTTAACAAGTAACCCCACTTTTAATTGGATTAGATATATTAATATGTAAAGTAATGTGTCAAATATAAAATAGGAAATTTTGTTTGTCATATAACAGGGTCTAGTGTCTCAGGGCAATTGCCCCCCCAGCATTACTGTGTCTGCATAGCAAAGCATAGTTACATTTTTAATAGTTTTAAGTTTTAATAATTGTTTGTACCTATATATAAGAAAATATTTTGGAATACGTAATAAGTAATACTGGTTATTTTTATCCCATTCATATTCTAGGTAACACAGTTTTACATAGACTTTATAAAACAATGAGTGACATCTCATTTTCCATGTCTCAGGTATAACAGATATTTCTGCACCTATTTTTTTTAGGCAATATTTTGGTACTTTGGTGCCCTACTCAACTACAATGTTTCCTGTGAGTGGATATCCAGGGCCTCTTGGACTTCAAGCAATATAGAAAACTGTAACACTCAATTTATATGTCACAAAAGGAGAAACTAATACATTTTTAAGGCCTATTTTGTATCATCTGGCCAGCATTTGAATAGCGTAGAATTATCACATTTTTCTCTAATGACAAGAAATTACTTCCTATAGGTTATTTATATATCATATTAATTGTAGTAAAAAATTCCTAGATAGGCCTATAAAGGTTGGTTAATTTATTTTTGTATTAGTAAAGTCAAATACATTTAACCTAGACATACAGCTCGACATATGCTAAGCATTATCTATCTAATTTACATAAATGATTAGATAGTAGAAGTTGTTAGGAAGTGTAAACTTACTTTGGTAGCAATGGATCCATTCTACAAAATCACTTGTCACTTCTTACAGAGCAAAAATTATGTATATTTTAGACAGATAACACATATGTAGAAGAATATATATTATTAAGTATTAAATGTTTTTTTTAGCTAGAATGTATTGCCATAGCTAAAATTATATTCAAAACAAAATTATTTAAAACATTGGATTTTATGTAGTAATGTTTCCTATTGTTTTAAAATAAACTTTGTCAAGAAAGGAAAACAATCTTCGAAAAGGAAAAAATAGTTTGTTTTCTTTTGAGAACATAATATATTTAATTAATATATTATTAGGTTTAGACCGTGAATGTATTAAATCTTGTGGTTCCATAATATGACGTCATCTGATAAAATTAAATACCTATTATGATATCATTGATAGATACGAAATTTTGCTCGTAAACAAGTGATTTTACGAATGTACAGTCAAGATTAATTTGGCACGATATTGTAATTATTTATAGTTTTATCGGAATACTTATTGTAGCTCCGTGGTTAAGTACTATAGGATATTGGAAAATAATTAAATAAAACTTACCTGTCAATTGAAAATAAACCTGCTAATTGAATAAAATCCTATGGTAATCACAGAACACTTAGTAATCACTGAACAGAAACAAAGATCAGAATAATGTGTGGCTTTCTCTTCTCTAAAAGGAGTGTTGGTCGATTGAGCCGAGAGGTTAGCCACTGAAATGCGCAATGTTTTGACTATGCGCATTAAACTCGGCCTCAGTTGTCATGCGCGTAGATAGTTTCCTTATAATAATAAAAAAATAAACAGAAAACCTAGACAGTATGTATTCAAATATATTAAATCATTGAAGATTATTTAAATTGTGTATAAAAATTTGTTGACAATAAATTGTTTGCGGTCGTATCTAAAATGACGTTTATTATTCCAAAGCTGACTTGACATTGACAATTGACACTTGAAAGCAATGTTCTCTATTTTATAATTTATTATATTTTTTTTTTGTGTAAATGTTATTTTATTTATTTTTGTTTTCTTTTAATTAGTTCAATTGAATTTAAAAATCGAAAATAAATTGAAAAAATTTCGACTCGGGCAGGACTTGAATCGGCATCGTCAGCTTTCCGTGCTGTTGCTCTATATAGTTCAATTCAGTCAAAATTTTACCTTCTTTTTTTGAAGTCAGTGTCATCTATAGTAAAAGTAAAAAAAACATTTGGAGATATAATTGTTTTGCTATTGGACAGTAGATGACGTTTATAATAGATTCATAGATAACTGTAGGCATTTAGTTTATTCCGTGATTTTCAGTCTTGTATTGGACGTTTTTCTACGTATTCCCTTTATTACTCCAGGAATGTATATTAATTTGCAATCATTGTACAGGGTTTCTGGTATTCGGGGGGTATTCTGTTTTACCGCCCTATTTACTACATTTTTTTTCTAAACGATCAATTATTTTGAGAGGCTTTGGTTGCTATCTTATCATGTAATCAGGCTTTCTTGGACTTTGAAATATGTATAGGTTGGTAGGTATTATGAGTGTTTTGGTGCGATATTTAAGACAAATAACATTAATTCATGGTCACTTAACTAATATTATATTTCACGATTTAAACCGTTAAGTGTGTTTTCCTTAATGTATACGTACTACTTACTCGCGTAAACTTCAGATAATTGAGCATATTTAAATAAAATACTTTAACGGTTGAAAACGCGATACATTAGTAAAACTTATTTGAAAAATGATTTTTAACTTCGGCCCGACGTTTCGGATGCTTTGCAGCAGCCTTGGTCACGGGGAGACTAAAGATGGAGGATGTCTCTGAAGTCAAAGTAGAAAATTGCTACGCTTGTGCCATGTGGTCCGTCGAAGTTGGTATCTGGCGAAACTGGCAGCCTTGCAGAATTGCCTAACGGTGTTTTTGCGTTTGCCGGTACACTGTTTATTGGGATCCAGAGTTTTTAATATAGGATCCCAGGTGTTTGATAATTTGAGGCCGTCCTCCTTATTGAAATTTCGGTGTTTTTTGATTTTAATTGCTTCGCGTACCAATCTTGGAAAAAAGCGACTCTCCTTTGCGAGGATTTTTTGGTCAAAGCGAATGTAATGATTGGGCCCTTGCGGGCTACCGCAGTTTGGAGAGACGTTTATGTTTACCAAACTATAGACAATATTTAATTGAATATATTAATTACACGACAAGGAAAAAATAATGGTCGTCAGAAGGTCATTGAATAATTTTGTTTTCAATTTTTACTCCCTCTTTCATGATGTCATCAACCATCAAATGAACCCTTTCACTTGATGGCTGATGACATATTTCAGCCGTATAAAGTCTAAACAAGATGTGCTACCGACCTGCAGATTTGGATATTTGCAAATCTAAAGTCTGAAAACGAAACGCGATTAAACTTCACGTCATTTTCATCTGTGGCCTGGTGGACAGAATTTCGATATTCCTACCACGCATTTCATACCCAGATTTCCAGACGAAGTCCAACATATTTTAGAAAATTAAAAAAATTATTAGAAGCATATTGGCCCTGTGGGAATCGAACCAACAACCTGATGATTACAAGTCCTACATTACTACCATAACACCAACGAACCGGACAAAATGGTGAAGTGGAATTTTACAATGCCATTTTCAATAATCAATAAGTGCGTAAAAAATAAAGTGCTGATAACATTCTCGCCACATCACGCGCTCAATTACATAAGTCGTATGCTTAACGGCCGTTATCCGACAGTGGTCGTTAAACGACGTTATCCGTTAACAACGGATTTTAGATATAGAATATATCAAGATAAGGTGACGGTATCGCTTTGAGGGTTTTATGATCTTATTACGATAATCATATTTGCGTTTTTTTTACACGTGTATTTGCAATATAATATAGAATTATATATGCATTCAGAGTAGAGACAAGACAGTAAAGAAAAAGTTAGATATTTTTATTTGTTGCGTTGAAAAAAGTAGTATAAATAGAATATACAAATCGTGATGACAAGGCGACGACGAATGTACATATATTAATCTATTTTCAGATAACACTGACTGCGAGACATTGGGACACACTACTTTTTGTAAAATTGAATTAAACCGTTCCCCTTGTATCTTTAGATACAATTAATCAAACGTGTAGACAAAAGGTAAAACTTTTTTAACAAGATAGACAGATATTTTCTAATATTTTTTGTCAATTACTTAAATAAAAAAAAATAGTAGACAACTGCCATACAACCTTTTTTTTATTTTCATCACAAAAAACAAGAGAATTGAAACTATTTTTTTTTAAATTTCGCATTAAATATTGTCTACAAAACACCGTCTAGGTATTTTGCAAAACAAAATGAGCCTTATATCAAAGTGATATTTGAAGAACGGCATTTTATAATGTAGATAGTAATGTTGCCAGTTATGGCTTGAACATTTTCCGGAAAATCCCACAACACAACTGGGGATGCACCCAGCACGAAGCCAATGTCACGTTTATATGCTTGTGAGTCATGAAATTGACAGCATCCTGTAACCGGAGAAAGCAACTTTCCAATCAATGCTTAGATTGGGATATTATGGAAACTTTATTACATATTGATTATATGAAATAGAAGTAACGAATTTCTTATGGTTATCTTTTTTCAATAACTATTATTAAATGAAGTGCATTTAATAATTTAAAGGTTGTAAACTATGGCTAAACAAAATATACTTACATTAAAATGTTCACTACGATCCTACCTAAGCAAAATATAACTAATATATTACTATTAAACAATAATTATGCTGTAAAGTATAAACATACTTATAAAACTTATATGGAAGTGCCATTAATGGAGTGCAAGGGCGGCTTATCGCTAACAAGCGATCTTTTCCAGGCAACCGAAAGTTTTGTAAAAAAATAGAGACATTAGAAAATTAAGAGAAACATAAAATAAGGATATTATATTTCGCGTTTAAATCAGTTAAGTGTTGTTTAAATGATTTACAATCGAAACTCCTTATGGGACTAAGTTCTTAAGCTTTTTTGATGAGACAGGAGACCCGTGCATATCCACTGTAAATAGGTTAAGCGGAAGTAACAGTAGATCCTATACGAATATTCTTGTTTTTATATCTTGTCAAATCAAGCGTAAACTAGTCGAGTTTATCCTCATGCCCAGAGGGATTTCCAAATGCGATGCAACACGCGATTAGCGAAAACATTGCATAAACCTCGTTCCCACGCGGATGTTTTAAAACGAATTCATTTAAATTACTTAGGTGTAGGCCCTATATACTGTTTTTAATATAAAACAAGTTCGAAAGGCACTAAAGAAATTAAACACTTATAACGCTTTAAAACGCGAAATATATTAGTTAACTTATATAAACATAATTTTAACTACGGTCCGACGTTTCGGATGCTTTATAGCAGCCGTGGTCACGGGGGAGACCCTTGTTTTGTTTAAGCTGTGTTTTTTCTCGCGTAAACTACAGACAGTATTTACTTTTAGTGATTTCATTAATGGTATTTAATTCTTCGTAGTAAAAAATAGTTTACGATTAAATTTGGACAATGCAGCTAAGTTTACTCCAATTTGTCAGGGAACTATAATTCGATAAGTATTATAAATTAAAATAAAGCTGTCTTTTGTCAATTCTACACTTATCTTAAATCTATAGTGATTCGATAGACATAATTATAGCACATATTAATCCATTTAATTTCAATAAAACGTTTATGGCACAATAAATTTTTATCGATTATCGTACAAGTGAACTAATCTGCTGTCAAGGTGAACTACGAACAGGTTTCTCCCGCATTTTTAAACCACCTTTGTTGTCGCGAGGTCTCGTTTGCCAAGCGCGAACCACTTCTCTACCCTCCGAACCAGTTCTACGAAACAATAGTACACGATAAACATAAATACAGAAGGATTTCATTAACCACCACACCATAGCTAGTATAAAAAGCTCCTTGGCTTTATTTGAAGTTGTTCTTTAAAAGCTTTTGTAAAACTATTGTAAACACCTGCATCACCAGGGGTCTTGATGCATTGCCGACCTGTTGATTAGAGATGCTTACTTGTTTCATAATAAAGACTTACGACCATAGGATGTATGAAATAATGATGTCCCTTTTAAAGGTCTAAAATTTGTTTCATTTAAACGTAAAAAGTTTAAATAAAACTTTTTTTTTAAGTTGTTAAGATGAGGAGGAGGCTTAAGAATAAAAATAACCCAAAAATAACGATTTACGCGGACGAAGTCGCTGGCACAGCTAGTGGTTTATAAAGTCTAATATAATTGGTATGAAATTTCTTTGTCCATGTCTACCAATTAACTAAATACAGAGCGCCAAACACCTGTGGTTAATGGTGGGCACCTTGAATATTGTGGATTATTTTACTTAAACAACTTACAACCTTAGATTTAGCTGATTCTCGTGTTCCATACATTTAATTTTATATATATTTCACGTTATATATTTCAAGTAAATAGTCTAGTATTTGTTCTGCTTATTTCAACATTCATAAGTGTACCTAGTTGATCTGGTATGTCTTGTGTAAGATCAGTCAATGCGCACGAGCACTAGTATTTGAAGATTGAGTCACCTGATTGACGTTCTTGCACCTTTCAATTTAGCTCATGGCACGTGAATTTTTTAAATTAGTCACTTGCGCATATATATATTTTTAGGGGTAGGGGGATAAACAAAGACGAATGTTAGGTAATTAATTAAGTTAGTTTTGGTTTTATTAAGATTTCGAACATTTTAGAAGAAATGTTTATGTTTTTATTGTTTATGCATAAGGAATGATATTCTTATTAGTATAAAGAAAACTATTAACGTAAAGAGAAGCTTATATTAAACTTTTTACTTTTAAAGCATTTTTCCTAATCTTTCACGTAAAAAGTAATAATTTTACAGGTTACAAAGCAACAGCACGGAAAGCTGACGATGCCGGTTCAAGTCCTGCCCGAGTCGAAAATTTTTTCAATTTTTTTTTGAATTTTAAATTATATAGTACCTTCATGTGCATATACATGTAAAAAATAATAAAGTTTTAAAATTTTTACAGGAGTTTTACGAACCGGCCGGTTAAAGTTACCTCCGTGTCGTAATTTTTTTTCAATTGATTGATATATAAATCTTTTTTTTAATTTTGAGAAAAAAAAACACATAACTAATCGCTAACTATATGACAAATCAATGAAGTAATTCAATAAGATAAATACATTAATTAAATCACTTTCAATTTCATAATACTGAATGGAATAAATGCAATATTTTCGTAGCAATACCAGCCGACGAGGTGTTAATTGTAGCGTGTTCGAAGGCTGCGCCGCCAAGGGAGAGGAACGACCAACGAACTGACCGCGCGCAACGTGCCTCCAACGCTATAGTACAGACGCGTCGGTCACAACCGGCGCACGCGCACGCTGATATCGAACCGGTATAAAATCAGCAGAAATCTAACTCGCACACCACTCTGCCGCTTCACCTGACAATGGAAGACATTCAGCTCAATCACAGCCATGAAGATGATGACACGAAGGGAGTGGTCGTTGCCAAGGGTGTGGCCATGGCTGTCCTGTTCTGTGCGTCCATGGTCTGTGGGCTGCTACCCTTATTCCTCGCGAAACGGTTCCGATGGATATCCCCCAATGAAGCTGGGAACCTAAAGTCCTCGAATCGAGTAGTTTCGTCTTTACTTTCTTTCGGCGGTGGTGTTCTGTTATCAACTACGTTTCTGCATCTTTTGCCCGAGGTGGACCACAATATTGAACATCTTGTCGGTAAGTCGAGTTTGTATTTTATTATGCTATATTTTTTTTATTATGTTCTATTGTTTTTTTCTTGGCCAATTTGAATGTCCAGAGCCAAAATGGGTGGGGTAAACCCTATTTAGTTTGCCCTGCTACGTCAGAAAGATATAATTTTGTATCTTAAATATAATGCAAACTGTATAAAATTATGGAATTTAAGTGTTGCACTGACTACAACATTTTAACTAAATCGATCGATGTAGTAATTAAAACCTCACTAAAATAACTATGTAAATTACGCGCTGAGTTATGCATTAACCATTAAACTACTTAACAAAGAAAATAGATCGCATTATTCCATACTTGTGGAATTGCAAAACAGCGCAAAACGTCTAACAATGATTTTATGAATGGACGAGTTAAGATTTGAAAACAACAACAAAGTTTTAAACAATAATGTCACTTAAACTTTAGTGATGTTTAAACATTTTATGCATAGTATCGATATAATATAATCGGGGGTAGATATATAGAAATTGGACAGTGTAAGACTGAGTTGTTAAAGAAATGCAATCACATTGTTTTCCTATAATATTAATGTATAATAATTATAAAAAACCATTTTTGTTACTTGTCATACATTCATGTCTCTTTAACTTTAAGAACAAATTAATAATATAATGCAATTTTTCAAAATTTTCTACTCTGCTTTAGTGCATACTAAAGCAGAGTAGAAAAGAATTAGCGTGAAACATTATGTATTGGTTACAATTTATAACACAAATGATCTGAAATAACATTGGTCTCCAAAATGTTATGAGTATATTTACTAATGATTACTAATTCAAGATTCTAAATACTATTTTTGTAATTACCTTATAGTTATAGACTATAATTTAAATAAAACACTTTAACGGTTTAAAACGCGATATATTAGTGAAAATTATTTTAAGTACTGCGTAACGTTTCCGAAGCTTTGCAGCAGCTAACTTTGACTAATACTATCGCGTTTCAAACCGTTTTTAAACTACTACTATAATTCTTATTCGAGCTTTAAAATGAACTTATCGATCTACCGGTAAAATTCTACGTTTACTACGCCACATTGAAACAGGATGCAATTAACGTGGAAACGAGTTCTAAATATCATTTAAAATACAACACAGATAAAAACTAAACAATGAAGATTAAATCTCGCAAAGCAAAGTTTGAAAAACGGATGTTTCGTCTTCAAGGTTCATTTGCTTCCATGTTTTGAATGGCTTAATCGAGACTCAAAGGTGATATTATCTAATTATTGCGAAACGATGTCCGTCACTGGGTATGTGTGCCACTGACCGCTCACCGCCGGAGCAATTTTAAAACACTTGCGCCTATAATTGACGAGTGTAATTACGAGATAATTATGATTATTAAACGCCCTTTGTGCGAATGAGCTGAGGAACCTTTTGTTACGATAAATAAAAATAACTTAAACTAGCTGTGTCAGCGACTTCGTCCGCGTAAATTATTTTGCAAACCTTTCTTCAACAATCTTTATAAATCTTTATAATATATCTTTATTAAATTATAAATTATGCTTTTACCCACGACGTCGGTCGCGTCCCGAAGGTCTTACAAGTTAAGCTTAAAAGATAGACATTCTAGATAGATCATTTCACGAGGAATCGTGAACTGTTTTCGCAGCGTACGCATCGGAAACCCACAAAGATGAATATGTCCTCGATTTTTCCACATTTCGCGCGGTAGTTCCTGAGATTGGCGCGTTCAAACTAACAAAAAAAGAACTCTTTAGTTTTTTATATTAGTACTAGTTGTGCCCGCGACTTCATTCGCGTCGAATAGTGACTTGGGGTAGAATTTTTAATTATTTAGGCTGTTTAATAATTTATGTAATTGCCCATTTATCGCAGCCAATCTATGTTGTTAGTGCTACTTTGCCGCAACACTCTCACCTCACATCACTCCTACTCTAACTCCCACTCCCACTCACCCCCCCCCCACCCCTATTCCCAAAAAGCCAAAGAAGAAAGTTTCATTTTTCTAGCTTCCAAAGCCACGAATTTTCATACAAACTTTCACCCCCCATTTTAACCTCTTACAACTCCCTTTTCGCAATAAAAAGTAGCCTATGTTCTTTCTCAGGGTCTAAACCATCTGTGTACTAAATTTCATTTAAATCCGTTCAGCAGTTTTGGCGTGAAAGAGTAACAGACAGACAGAGTTACTTTCGCCTTTATAATATTAGTAAGGTTAGACAAGATTGCTTGAATTCAAGTTAAATTGATTTCTTAAAATATTTAGTTTATGTTAGTGGAGTGATACATCAAATCACTTTGCATTGATGGGGATTAGAAAACCAATGCGAAGAATTTGAAATTCGAATAGTGTCATGTTTCAAAATATGTACAGTAGACACAGATCTTAGTATTGTGAACTGTGACGATGTTTTTTAAAATTGTCAACACCTTTATACTATGCCATACAAATACATTCTACATAATAAGTGAATTATTTTTTATCGTGCCAAATGATTGCATACGTCAAACTGTACATTATTATGTCCAAAGTTTGAACCCGCTCTAACGCGGCGTGGTGGGTTATTTTCTTGAACCGTCTCTAGTATAAGAAAGAAGACTGTGTCCAGTACTAGGACAATAAATGGGTTAAAACGCAACGATAAAGTTGTGACATAGATCGAAGTATTAATTAAATATTGCTTAACTGGGTATTATTAACGCAATAACTGATAGTAATCATACTTTTACATATCTGTGTACTTCATATAATTTCATACGATGTCTGATACGCTAATTCCCGTTATAAGTACTTGTTTCATTGTTTTATTTCATAGCCGTTAAATGAGGCGAAGTTCTTAATTTGAATCGGTTTTTATAGTGTTTATTTATATTATTGATTGTGCACGTATTGCGTTTAAATATGTACTTTTGGCCTATTTTTATTTTAATTAAAAATCGAACTCACGACCATAGGGTACGCTGCCATTGCTTACCAGAGAGAGGTTTTTGAGAAACAAACATAATATAAAATTATGGACGAAGAAGTCTTTACCTAGGTAATGTTTCGGCAATATTTATTACTATAGCAATACTTCGGATAAATATAGGGACGTAATTAAACATAAATGAACTAATATATTTCACAGTGTTAAGTTTTTTTTTATTTTACACAGTATAAATTAAATTTTTCCTTGTGCTTTTGCACTTTTAGGCGAAAATAGGCTTCGATTTTTATAGAAACTGTGTTCGTGCGTGAATGTGGCTTTCCTGTCCGGCGTAGTTTGTGCGATTGTGCGCGGACGTGTCCAGCCGGCTAATTACCGATTCAATAAAGGTGTACACGCTTTTCGCATTCTAAATCTTTTTAGGGTTCCGTATCAAAGTCAGAAGACACGCCTCCTATGGGCGCTAGGCCTTCTTTGTCCGCCACTAGACCATGACTAACGGCTATGTCTGTCGCCGCGATAAAAATAAGTAAAACAAAAACATCACAATACTCTATACTCTATACTAATATATAAAGTTGAAGAGTGTCTTTGATTGTTTATTTAATCTAAATTAAATGACCTAAGAAAAGTCAACTCAAATATATAAGAAACCCTCTTTGTGTTTGACTCGTGCTTGACCGGTCTTCAATACATTACGTATGCATATTATTTTTATTTAAATTTTGTTAAGTCTAGGCTAACTAATTGACAACGCTCGATATAGCTTACGTAGTCTAACATACTATTACGATTGCATTTTTAGGTTATCTGGGAATATATTTTTTGGAACACGACTGTTGTTGTGAAATAAGAAAATAGCTATCCCACAATAGCGGTGTATTTGTGATTGATTTTATTAGTGGCTAGTAAATTTTTTTTAATGATAGCGGACGACAGACAATCATGAGCATTACTTAATGGTAGGTAGAACACCACAGCCTATAGCATTAAAATAAGATGCGCTGTCGGCCTATTTTAGCTTTGGATATTCGGAAAACCACAGACTGAAACCGTAACGTGATTAAACTTCACGGCTTTTTCTTCTGTGGCCGGTGGTTCGTGATTCGAACTGAGTTTGAATATTCCTACCACCCATTTAACAACCACATTTCCAGACAAAGTCCAAAAACCAAGCAGTTGATATAAGTGTCTATTCGCACCGTATGAAGCGTTCTAGATTCAATCCCGGAAAGACTATTGTATAGGCTGGAATAAGATTGAACTGCTTATCAATTATCTGTGAATCAAAATCCATAATATAATAAAACACTTTAACGGTTTAAAACGCGATATATTAGTTAAACTTATTTGAAAATGATTTTTAACTTCGGCCCGACGTTTCGGATGCTTTGCAGCAGCCGTGGTCGCGGGGAGAGTCTCCCCGACAGTATTCAAAATCCATCAATTAAACGTGCCTACAATATGTATGCCTCATACTCTACGGCGGGAAAGTGGGATTTAATTTTTTCCCACAATTTGTTATTAAATAAGTCATGCATTTTAAAACCGCATTAACGGAAAAACGTTTTTTTTTTCAGTTTTCTTCCTCTTAAATGACGTCATAATTAGATTTTAGGCTTATTAGGTTAGGATAGCTTAGTATAAATGATGTACATAATTCTACGAGACTTGTCTCTTTCTCCGCTTTTAGATACTTAAACCAGTCAAGTATAAGTGAAAGAGATTCATGTTCTGATCATGCGTAGTTTCAGTTAAGTAAGGCATAAAAGCAAACTCGCATTTACATAAAAATCGATCAGCGCTGAAGAGGTCTGCTCCCATATATTTCCCAAGAGATATGGGCAATTGGAATTACAAAACACTACAAATAGGTACATAAAAAGGTAAAGCATGGGGCGAACATATTTCTGTGTCCGTTTCACCGATTGCTTCTCTATACAGTAGTTGATCGAGACAATCGATTTGTATCTTTCGCAAGTAAAAACAACTCAGGACCTCTCGCGCTGAACGTAAAGCTAGGCAACACGTTTAACCATTTCTCTACAGAGGCGGTAAAACGTAA